GGAAGTTAACCTGTGGCAAATTCAATTGAATAGGTATGATTTGGAAAGGCACACAGATCTTAATAAAAGGTCTAACAGCTGATAATGCATATCAGAGCAAAATTCCATCGATTTGGAATTTATGGCAGTGTGGCAAGACTCAATTCTCTCTTGAGTGTAGACACATGAAAACACACTTAGAATTTATAAAAAAGCAACTAAAGGACCCTCAGTCTGTGAGAAATAATATTCTCTGGTCTGATGAACCTCAATTCCAAGCATCATGTTTGAAGGAAACAAATTCTGCTCATCACCTGTAGTGTACCATCCCAAAAGTAAAGTGTGCTGGTAGCAGCCTCATGCTGTGGGGCTGTTTTTCAGCGGCAGGGACTGAGGGACTCGTCAGAGTAGAAGAAAAGCTCAATGCACCAAAATATAGAGATAGCCTTAATGAAAACCCAGTCCAGAGCATTCAGAACCTCAGACTGGGCAGAAGGTTTACCTCCCAACAGGACAATGACCCTAAGCACACAACAAGAGTCAATTATAGACAACTCTGTGAATGTCCTTGAGTGGCCCAGCCACAGCCTGGGATTGAACCCAATCAAATATTTCTGGAGAAACCTGAAAATGTGCCTCTGCCCCCATCCAACCTGACAAAGCTTGAGAGGTGAAGAATGGCTGATAATTTCCAAATGCTGATGAGCAAAGCTTGTCACATCAAACAAAAAAGACTTTGAGACTGTAAAGGTGCTTCAGCAAAATATTTAGTTAAGGGTATGAATACTTATGCAATGTACTTATTTCAGTTTTTTTATTTTTAAGATTGATGTGGGAAAAAAAGTACATTTAAGCAGTTTAGCATAAGGCAGCAACATAACAAAATAATAAAAAAATATGAATACTTTCGCAAGGCACTGTACATGCATGTGTGTGTATTTATATATACATAATAAATATACACAGTACACACACACATATTATGTACACAAAACTCATTTTGGATGCGATTAATCGTTGCCCAGCACTAAAAAAGTATTTATCAATGGACATGAAATGTACCCTATATTATATACTACATAATCTTTTGCAGGTCCGCATGAAATACACCTTCAATAAGTTCTGCAAGATCGGACAAGCACCTGAACAGTCGTGGTGCAGGAGCAGAGATTCGGTTGTGAGGCGGCTGAAAGAGCTGCGGGATGTGCTGTGTAAACTGGGCCGAGAGCTGCCGTGGCTGAGGGGCGGCGAGGTGGAGCCCAACACCGTGGTCAAACTGGTGGATGACATCCTGAAGAACCGCAAGGCGTTGCTCATGAGGGCCGTTAGAAACTACGAACAACAACTGCAAAATGAGACCCAAACGACAGAATGCGACAAAGAGCCATCAGATTCAAACTGCTCTGATTCACCTTCCTCAAAGACTCCTGAGCTCCTGCATGCCGGTCAGGCAGAATGTGAGAATCCTCCTGATAAAGAAGCCACAGATTGTCAACTACCACCAAACCACGAGTAAAAGGCACTTGTTTTTACCTCCCTTCGTGAAGAGTTGCAAGCGGCAGAGGGTTGACGCTCCGCAGCTGGAAGTGACCGGAGATGAAGACATATCAGACAGTGAAATAGAATCATACATTCGCTCTCATGCATGAAATGGAAATGTATCGAAAGGTTCGGAAGGAGCTAAAGGAGGCATAAATGTGTCATAGTGTTTACGTATAATTAATTGCTGCTGATTTCCTGATACCATTAGTTTTTTTGTTATTATTACATTGATTTAATTTATTTAATAGATTGCACTGATTGTTCTGTTCATTGTTAATAAATGCATTTTTGTTTGAACTGGTAAATTTCTCAATTATTTGTTCTGTTTTATGTTGCAATGCCATTTTATTTAATTAGTGCTAGTGCTATTCAATGCTGAATGGAATCCAATACTTGTTTCTTACTAATCTTGGGCTGCTGATTCCACAAATTTTGCCCGTTGTGCTCTAGCATGTTACTTTCTTACAAACTATGTGTAGTTCATAACATTTTTGCTTTTGAAAACCATTTATAAGGTCACAAAGATACACTCTAAAAAATGCTGGGTTGTTTCAACCCAATTTTGGGTCAAATATGGACTAACCCAACTGTTGGGTTTAATTTTGGTTAGATTTTTAAATTAACTTTTTAACCCAACAGTTGGGTTAGTCCATATTTGACCCAAAATTGGGTTGAAACAACCCAGCATTTTTTAGAGTGTAGGATCTCTATCTTCCTCTGAACAACTCTCTCACATGTATGACATTATTTTATGCCTAATCCTGATGTCAACTTTAGAATTATTGCCAGTGACAGGAGCAAGTGCAAACAGGACCCAAATGTTTTCTATTTTTGTAATAATAATAATAATTTATAAACTTTAAGGAAAGACATTAAATGGAGTATTTGAAAATGTATTTGTAAGTGATAAATTATACATGTTGAACACTTTTTTTTGTCATTTAAAAACAAGTCTTTTGACATTTGACTGCTGTTATTTTGATACATTTATAATTATAAATATTTTCATTATTTCGCAAACATACTATGATATGGAAAGTTTTATTGGTATTTTAACTCAACATCTAATTAGGTCAAATTAAGCAGGATTTGTTTTCAAGATGCAGGGCTGTTGTGAATAGCCGTGTTTGCAGGAGATCAGAATGTATAATCTTGCCGGAGCCTGTAATTTCATGTTGTTTGATTGATGCTTGTGCTTTTTGCATAAATTGCAGCTTCTAAAATCCCTGTGTCCAAAACAAATTGATTTTCTATTAACATATTGTCCTTTTGGATGACCATTCCAGAAACGTTCATTTCCTAGATCCTGATATTATTAGCGTCGAACTCGTGATGGCATTATTAGTAGGCTATGTGCCGGTTGCCTGAGGCTGTAATACAGACTGTTTAAAATGTCGTCACGATGATTTAAAGTGCCTGTTCTCATGTTGTCTTATTTGTATGGTCCTTCATGAGAGCTGTTGGTTTTAAGATCAATTGCTGCTTTGAACAAAAGCCCTTCTGGCGACAGGAACTCAGTCGACGACTTGCATTCTGATGTCTGATGCATTTACACAAGGTATTGTACACTTGAAAATATTAGAAAGTCATTGCGTTAGTTAGGCTAGCACAGAATATCAATCTAACCGCTAACCGGCATTTACTTCAAAAGAAAGAGCATAGTTAATGTGGTGATCTACACCTGTGATTGCTCTGCCAGGGACATCTGTGCCAACTTGAGAACTGACTTGAAATACATGCTGCTTAAAAGTTTGGAGTCAGCAAGATTACTCATTTATTCATTTATGAAATTATTCAAAAGTGACAGCAAAGACATTTATAAAAGATTTTTATTTCAAATATGTTCTTTTTACTTTTTAATCATCGTAGAATCATGAAACAACGGTATCGCCGTTCACACAAAAATATTACGCAGAGCAACACTGATAATAATAAATGTTTGAGCAGCAAATCAGCATATTAGAATGATTTCTGAAGGATCATGTGACACTGAAGACTGGAGTAATGATGCTCAAAATTCAGCTTTGCATCACAGGAATAAATGACATACGTCATTAAAATATATTAAAATAGAAAACGCTTCAGAAAAATACTTAATTTTTAATCAAATAAAAGACTTGAGCATAAGAGGCTTCTTAAAAATAATTTAAAAAAAAAATCATACCGACCCCAAACATTTGAACAATAGGCTACACATTCAATTAAAAAAATACCAAAAGCCAACTGATTAAATGTAAATCTTTATTTTTTTTAATGAATAGCATGCAATAATTTAAACAACTTGCAGAAGCTTTCTCCTCAATGCACAGATAAATAAGTTGACTTTGTTGTTCGCTCTATTTTTTTCTTTTGTGTGTGTGTGTTTGACTCAAATGCTTGTCCCTATAGGCTCTTCCATTCATTATGAATCAGACTTTAACATCTCTGATTATCATGTGAGTGTTCACATATTGCACTGCACATTCACAGTGTACTCAATGATCACAAAATCCTCTTGATTCATGATTCATAAGCAGGAAATTGCTAATGGAAAATTAAATGACAAAAAAGAGGCATTAATCAAAACTGACCCTACTTCTTTAATACAAGTTTCTGGATTTATTCCACATGATTTCTTTTGTAATGTCTTTGTAAACTTTCAGCAAAACGGATGGTCTTGGTCAGACCCTTCAATTCCTTTTTAAATTAAGGTCACACTCTAAAAAATGCTGGGTTAAATTCAACCCAGTGCTGGGTAAAATAGGGACAAACCCAGCAATTGGGCTGTTTTGACCCAGCGGTTGGGTTAAGTGTTTAACCCAACCTTCTGGGCAGTAACCCAACCGCTGGGTCAAAACACCAGCACTGGGTTGTATTTAACCCAGCATTTTTTAGAGTGCACCAACATCTCCACCTTTCAGAGACTCTTCTCACAATCCATTTAGTTCCTGATGGATAAAATTAACTCCCGTCCTTTATTTCACACCAAATATCCTGTTTTACTCCCAAAACATCACATTGCAGGAGCAAAATGAGTTGCAAATGCCACTTCATGTACACTCTTAAAATAAAGGTGCTTCACGATGCCATAGAAGACCCTTTTTGTCTAAATGGCTCCATAAAGTTTTCTGTTTCACAAAAGGTTCTTTACTGTTATTTACATTTTGTGGGCCATTTAGAGCTTAAATAGCACTTAGTGTTTTCAGCCTTTCTGAAGCCATGAGTGGCATCATAGCACGACGCTCGCTGTGGCGCAGTGGTTGGCCGGTATACCGATGCGACGGTGGCAGGTGAACATCTTGCGCAGCTCGGCGCAGAAACGGTCGTGAAGCCAGGCGTACAGGAACGGGTTGCAGCAGGACGAGCTCATAGCGCACAGATGACACAACAGCTGGATCAGCAGGAAATGGCGCTTGTTGATGAGGCGGATGTCGATGTCGCGCAGGACGTTGAACACGTGGATGGGCAGCCAGCAGACTCCGAACGCCGCCACCACTAGAGACACCAGCCTGAAGATCTTCCGCTTGCGCGCCCGCTGGGCCTCGGCCTGGTCGCGCGTTCGGTGTCCGGGGGCCACGCAGTTGCGGAGTTTGACGGAGATGCAGAGGTAAGAGACGCAGACTGCGGATAAAGGCAGGATGTAGGTCAGTAGCAGCGTGCTGTAGGCGTACACCAGTCGCTGGGTCTCCTGGCCCAACCAGAACTCCTCGCAGATGGTTAGACCCTCGTCTCTAAACTCCACATGATACGTGTGGGCCACAGCGGGGGCGACCAGCACACACGACAGCAGCCAGATCCCAGACAGCACATAAGCGCAGGCAGCCATTGAGATTCGCTTCTTTAAAGGGTGCACTGTAGCGTAGTACCTGTTACAACGCACAAAGATTTAGGCATTGTTATATATATTATATTTGAGTGTTTACTATTGTGCTTTTGCATTATCAACGCACCTTTTTCCTGTTTAACACTGTAAAGCTGCTTTGACACAATCTGTATTGTAGCCTATAAAGTGCTATATATAAAGGTGTCTTGACTCACTCGACATTATTATATTATATTATATATTACCCCAAACTAAATAACAACGAAACACATTATATTTTGTATAAAGAAAATTTGCCTATATTTTTTACCATTATATATTTACCATAACACATTTAATAATTATTAGGCTACTGTATTTCATCTAGACATTTTAATACATTATATATATATATTTTTTAATTCTCATTAATAGAATAATTTGGAAATAATTCTCAATTTCTACATTAAAATATTTTACTTCTCAACAGAATCAATAGTTATATTTCTACTGTAGCAAAAAAAAACAGTATTTTTTCTTTCAAACATTACCCCAAAATTAAATCAAATAATAATAAACATTATATTTTGTATTAAGAAAATGAAGCCTGTTTTTTTAGAACTATTAGTATTTTTTAGAACTATTAATGTTTTTTGTACCATTAAGCACTTTTACCCACAAATTTTATTACTGTAGTTCATCTAGACATTTTACTTTTGAGTTTTTGTTTTTTAAATTTCTTATTCTCATTAATAGAATAAAGCATACACAATTCTCATTTACTCATTTATATTAAAATATAATTTTAATCCTCAGAATTAATATTATTATATTTGACTATAGTAAAAACTGCAGTAATGCATTTTCAAATTATGTTCCTTTTCAAAAAATTTCAAATTTTACCCCAAAAACATTTAACCATATTTAACCATTAAACACTTTTCCCCTCCTTATTACTGTAATTCATACTGTAATACTGGACATTTTACTTATTATTACTCCCACTAATAAAATATTATTATATTATTTTCACTAACAGAATAATGCATAATAATTCTCATTATTTACTCATTTATATTAAAACCATGTTAATTCTCAGAATCAATTTAATTGTATTTTTACTATAGTAAAAGAAATGCAGTAATACAGTGTTTTTATTTATTTAAATCAACATTAATTCAATACAAATTTAAAGGGGTCATATGATGCGATTTCAATTTTTCCTTTCTCTTTGGAGTGTTACAAGCTCTTGGTGCATAAAGAAGATCTGTAAAGTTGCAAAGACTAAAGTCTCAAATCCAAAGAGATATTCTTTATAAAAGTTAAGAGTCAGCCACGCCTACCTAAGGGTCAATTGCGACTTTGCTATGACAATCTGGCACTTCTGAATCAGCAACTGTATGTATGTTTTGTTACTAGTTTAAGTATTTGCTATTGACTGTTCAAATGCGGAGTTTTGCGCATAGAGGACCTACAATAATGTACAGTATTTGAAAAATAATGTGTTTTTTGAACATTAAAGCACGTCAACATATTCTGTTACACCAAATACACAAAATAATGATCTTTAAAATAGCATCATATGACCCCTTTAAAAATAAAATTTAAACAACATTTAAAAATTCATATTATTACATCATTATTTATTATTTATAGTACAAATAAATTGAATATTGGTAATGAGAATCACAATGCAAAACTACAATAAAACACATTTTTCTACAGTAAAACACAATTATTTCTTTCTATATGGGATTTATGGGGTGAAATATGACGCTGACATGTCCTTAACAGATTTTATGAGTAAAGAAAGCAAGAAACAGTTTTAATTTGGTCAACAAACATCAAAACAGCTGAAAAGAGCATGGATAGTGACCCTCCTCTCAAACTGCAGTCCTCACTTCCTAAGCCAAACCTCTAATGATCTCCAAAGTCCTTCAGCATAAAAAAGATGAAACCCTTTTCAAAAGAACCATCATTCTGTGCACATCCTTTGGACACCCTTTCATCTCAAGTGATCTGACCCACTTCAACCACACTTAGCTTTGATATCTGCGTCTCGTAACAGCGTGAACCATTAGCGAGATCATTAGAAGGTCAGGTGCTTGCACTCACCTGTCAACCGCGATAGCCGTGAGAGTGAAAACGGACACGTATACAGTGACGGGCTGGATCAGGAACACCAGGTAGCACATGAAGCGGCCGAACGTCCACCCGTGAGGGCTGAAGGCATAGGCCAGCGTGAAGGGGACGCAGGTCACACACATCAGCATGTCTGAGAAGGCCAGGTTGCCGATGAAGAAGTTGGTGACGTTGTGCATCTTCCTCGAGCGGCAGATGACGTAGATCAGAAGGTAGTTGCCAAAGACGCCCACCAGCACCACAAGAACGTAACAGGGGATGATAAGCGGCTTGAAGGTCTGCAGCAGGGCGACGTCTGCAAAGGGATAGTTGTGAGGGGCCGTGGCGTTTTGGACCACCGTCACCTCGTACACTTGGCTTCCAGGAGGCTCTTCAACATCTTGCCAGCCAGAGCCCTCCATCCTTTGATCACAGCGCTCCTGTCTCCCCCTGCTGGACGAAAAACACAAAGGTCATCGCTGGTTGATGTGGGATATTCAGTGTAGGTTTTCAGCTTCGTAAACTTTCACATTTGTTCTCGCTCAGTCTTGAATACTTTGTTACATAACTGCTCAGTTGTTATTTAAAATGCTTTAATGTAACTATATGAAAGTGACCTCAGAAAATGAAGGTCTTAAAATAGCTTTTTGATCACTTTTTCCAAGCATTTTAAAACACAGCACACTTTGCCTGCAGTGATGCATTTTTCCAAAGAGCCTGTGTACTTTCACTGTCAAACAATAATTATGAATGTCAAAGCTTAAACGCTGCTTAAATTCAAACGTTTCATGTAATTTGTGCAAATACAAAAAGACTTACCGGTAAATGCCAGTCATTTGATGAATTGGCATTAGGCTATATTCTCTGGTCTTTGCAAAAGCAAAGCTTTGCAGTTTCATAAAATGCTCCATTTCAAACAGAAGTTGCATATGGAAGTTGCACTGTGAAATTTAGGATTAGAAGCGACTGTATTTTTGGGTGCTGAAATATCCATTTCTACATTAATGTACTTTCACCGTCAAACAAGAATGAAAAATGTCAAATGTTAGCAGATAAGTGCTGCTTAAATTCAAACATTGCACTCATGTAATTTTATGACATTTAAATGCCAGTCATTTGATGAATTGGCATTATATTCTCTTGCTGAGTTCAGGTTTGCAAAAGTAAAACGTTGCAATTTCATAAAATGCCCCCTTTCAAACATTGCATGGTAAGAAGTATGAAATAACTACAGTATAGAGGTTACACTATTCCTCAATAGAAACTACTGAATTCAATATGTTTGCCTGCTTAAAAATTAATCAATAAAATATTGATAAGCAGTTGACATTGAATTTATTTATAAAGTGTTTTAAACGGCATTTTCTTATTCTTTTAATATTCATTTGCAAGCAGGTTTTAAGATCTTTTAAATTGGGAGGTATTGAATACCTGTACTTGTAAAAATGAATATATTTCATACATCTGGAGTTCATTAACATCTCTAAAGACTAAACCAAGTTTGTAATGTCATCATATTCATAAGGGCAGCATCTTATCACATATAATCTGCTAATGGGGTCAGTAGATAAAAGTCCTTTGACTAAATATAAATTATACATCAGAATAAAGGTCATGGCGCCTTACCTATATGGTCTGAAAAGGAATTAGTCCCAGACAAGATAATTATGTTCTTTGTGGAAGTCTGCAGCACCATAAATAAACCAATTCATTCTCTATAAGTGTTAATTACATCTGGAAGGGTAGAATATAATAATGATAATGGAAAATTATCCTCCATTCAGAAATAAAGCTTCCTGTCTTCGGTTACACCCTTATAGAGCTTCCCAAATGACCTCTCAAGACTCCGAAAAGGTAAGCTGTCACTGAGGCGTTACCCTGAGGTACGAAAGCTAAATGACTACATATTTGTAGCCTACCTTATTAAATGGTACATATTAATACTTTAAAAGTACATATTAGTACTTTTACAAATCAGGTACCACCAAAATGAAGAAACTAAGGTATGAAATATTTTTGATAAAAGATTTAATCATTATAGAGCTCATTAACAGCACACACAAGCTGCAAAATTAAACAGATGACTAGCTTTCTTCACCCTTGACAGCCTGTAGCCTAAATGCAGAACTCTCTAATAAATGCCTGCTGTTATAGCCTATCTGTTGACTGCACAAATAAGAAAAATCGATGCACAGTACAATTACCAGTAAAAAAGATATTTACTTTAGAATGTAAAAATATGACATTACCTAAGATAAAGAGATAGCCTACTCCTGCTTCTGAGTGGTGTGTGATGCACGTTCTCTCCGGTGCGGTGCGCAGAGTGTCTCCAAACGGCGCGTCGGCTCCGGCTTCAACAAGCAAACCACATAAATCAGCGAGAGACTGAACGTGCTGCAGTAACAAGTGTTTCACAACTGTCGCTCGCTTACTCATGCAGACTAAAGCTCAACTTCTGTCACCATGAGTCAGTAAGGCTCGAACCCCCTCAAAAGAGGTTAAAAAAAAGAAGGGGGAAAAAATAAATTATTTTATCTATCTATCTATCTATCTATCTATCTATCCACACACTTATTAAACAACGTTTCACTATTCACAAAAGTTTACAAATTAGTCAGAGAACGTTTCGCTCGCTAGCGATTAGCGAAGTCTCGTTGGTCTGAGGAAGTAGCCGTAACAGCAGTTCATTTGTTCGCTGTCTATGGACGGCACATCTACAAAATGACTTAATAAATTGTGAATGTACACATCATAAATAGGCCTATGTCATAAATACGTCTGAAAAACGGTTTACGTAACGTAACTCCGCTATGCCAGTGCGGTTGCGCGAGAACCTCGATCATCTGAGAGATACAGATTTGATTAGAAGAATTTAGTTTTTTTTTTTTTTAATTAGTAGTATATAATATATTCGTTCATCGAGGCCTCACACTCCATCCCAGTAGGGGGCGGAAATGCACCTTAAGCTGGTTTGCCAACCGCCATTAAACACAAAAGAAGAAGAAGAAGAGACCCTCGATCACCCTCAACTGAAAATTACTGACAGACATAGGCTATAAAACGTCGACCCAAATTAAAGTCACAATTCGCTTTCAGTTTTAAATAGCTTGCTAAGTGGAGTTTCAACAGCAAGGCAAGATATAATTTTTGAAGTGATGCAGAGTCTATTTAGAATAAGACAATCTGGTCTTATGGTAAATTTCCTGTGGGTACCATCACATATGGGTGTGGAAGGAAACGAGGAGGCAGACCATCTGGCTAAACAGGCTCTGAAACATGCACAAATTGACATTAAAGTGTCAATGAGTAAAGCAGAAGTAAAAGGGTTAATTGCAAATGAAATAAGAAAGAAATGGCAGAAGGAGTGGGATAGTGGAACAAAAGGTAGACACTTTCATCATGTTCAAGAGAAAGTAGGTCAAGAAAGAAGAAAGTTTGGCAACAGGAAAGAAGACGTTTTAATGTCAAGAATGCGTATTGGACATTGTTCGTTAAATCAGTGTCTGTATAGAATGGGGAAGCATGAAACTGGAAATTGTGACAAATGTGGTCATGCAGAATCAGTAGAACATGTACTTATAGAGTGTGATGCATATGAAGGAGCAAGATTTCAACTAATTCAAGCTTTAGGATCATTCGGAATAAATAATTTGTCTGTTCCACACTCCGGAGCAGAAGGTGGCGGTAATGCACCTAATTACGCTGGTTGCCAGCCGCCGTTAAAAGCCAAGAAGAAGAAGAAGAAGAAGAAGTCACAATTCGTACATGGTAGGCTGTCTCTGTCTGCTGTCCATGTGAGGGAATGGCTTTTATCAGCGCTAGTTCATTTCTTATTACAAATGTTAGCTACTTTGCAGCAGGGCCGTTGGAAAAAAACGGCTTTTGTAGCTTTCAAGTGTTAACGTTACATCATGTTCCAATATGGAGGTGAAGTCGATTAACTGTCACATGAAGCTGTCTTAACAGTGACTATGTTTACATGGACATAAGTAATCAAATTATTTACCTTATTCTAAATAAGCCAATATTATGATTATGGTGTTTACATGAGTTGCTTTTAGAATATTCCTTTCATGTTCCCGTTTTACATGTTATGTTCGATTAATGGCAGGCTCCAACGTCCCCTCCGTAATTTCACGTATAAACATATAGTTCGTCTTCAATTTGATGCCATATACAGTTTTGGGTGTTTCATTTTTAATTTACTGAAAGCTTCAAGTGCAGTTAATTATTTGTCATGCTA